CTGTGGATAACAAACACAGGAGTAACCGTTAGCATTAGACAAATAATGATCAAATAAAAGAACAAAGACAGAGTTCATGTCCAACACAATGAATCTAGACTTTGGTGTTTGTATGTTCAAAAAAGTGTATTTGACCGAGAAACTGTCCCACTGCGAGAGTAAAACTATACATATGTGAAAGAAGACGAGCTCATGAATTATAGATGAAGTCTCTTCATACAGAAGTGAGGGGATTTCTTCACACTCTCGCTCTCTCTGCACAGTGATGAAGTGTGTGTGTCTGCATTATTGATGCCCGCTGTAGCACATGGCATGCATTGCAGAGGAACATTAATATTCAAACCCACTCCGTACGCCCATCCGACCCGTACCCAAGCTCATCTCCTCTTCCTCAGAACACCCATTACAACAGGAAGTGAGTGTGTTTTAAAGCCATGAGTCAGCCAGACTCTACACACACACACACACACACACAAATACACACAAACACACCGAGACAGACACATACACTGCTGGTCCTCTATAAACGCTTTGTGTGGTTTTCATCTTCACTCTTATCTAAAGTGAGTTGCATTCTGGGTAATCATTCCTCTAGTGCTGTAGCGGTGTCTGTGCTGCAGTGATTCTGATTCCGGCCAATAAAACCATTTGAAGAGATTAGAGAGCCTGCGTTAGTTACTCAAGAGAGCAATTACACACTCGGGCCCACACCAGCGCTGCAGGATATGACATCAGAGAAGGATGAAGATTGAGCAGATGTTGCGAGACGGATCAATATATTATATTCCGGGTCAACTTGACCCACAGCACACAGAAACACTGATTAAACTAAGAGGTTTAAAGGGTTAGTTCACCCAAAAATGAAACTTCTGTCAGTATTTACTCACCCTCATGTTGTTCCAACCCCGTAAGATCTTCGTTCATCTTCGCAACACAAATTAAGATATTTAAGATATTAAGATCACTCCTCTTCTTGAGGGAATGACTCTTGCTGTCCCAGAAAAGTCATTAAAGACATCGTTAAAATAGTCTAAGTGACCACAGGGGCTCAATCTTAAGTTTATCAAACGACGAGAACACTTTTTGTGCGCAAAAAACATCAAAAATAACGACTTTATTTCAACTATTGGTTTATTTCTCCCTCTGCGCGAGTCAGGTTACTAGTTTAATAGCGTAAGCTTCTGTTATTGTACGTCACACGCATCACACACACATGACCAGCGTCGGCCAATAGTGAGCCTATGTGTGACGTAGCTTTACGCAATCACACTACGTTAACTGACTACAGGCTCATGGAGAAGGAAGTGAATAGTTGAAATAAAGTCGTTATTTTTGTTTGTTTTGGCGCACAAAAAGTGTTCTTGTCGTTTGATAAAGTTATGATTGAGCCCCTGTAGTCACTTGGACTATTTTAACGATGTCTTTAATGACTTTTAGATGCCAGCAAGTGTCATTCCCTCAAGAAGCCTATGGACTAGTATGCAGGAGCGATCTTAATATCTTAAATATCTTAATTTGTGTTGCGAAGATGAACGAAGGTCTTACGGGGTTGGAACAACATGAGGGCGAGTAAATACTGACAGAATTTTCATTTTTGGGTGAACTAACCCTTTAACTTTACTATAATCCGGCTGTGAGGAACACACTTCTAGACAAAATAACCTTAAATTTGGTTGCATGTCGTTTTTGCCAAAATAACTTGCGAGATGTATGATATTCCATAATGAAAGTTACAAGGTGTCTTCACTCATTTCATTTCTTTGTTGTGTGTAATTGATGACTAGTCTATTCTTGGTCGATGGTTTAGACCATCACGCTGTTGGATGTCTTTTAAATGCAAAATTGCTGCTTGGTTTTCTTGAAATTGTGTAACTATTTCTCATTTAGGGTCATGCAAAAGTGTTGTATAAAATTTCTATCACGATTGTGATTAATGGGTCAATCTGACCCGCAATTTTCATGGTTTAAAGAACAAACAATTCCAAACAATTCAAAACCATCATGGTGATCTGAAGTGTCTCAGCTGATGGAAACAATCCATTATCTACCAGATTTATTATATCGGCCAAACATTTTTTATCGGGCCGATACCGATAACATTAAAAATGAACATATGAAGAGTTCAGATGCAAAAGCCTCTAAATGCCATTTGAAATTTTCTTCTAAAATGACAATTTTTATCAAGCTTGTGTATTTAAAGTTCAGTAATTTCACTTAAATGACAATTAATAGGTAATCTTCATTGCCATTTAAGTGAAATTACTGAACTTAAATATACAAGCTTGATAAAAATGATCATTTTAGAAGAAAATTTCAAATGGCACTTAGAGGCTTTTGCATCTGAACTCTTCATATATGGGCCGATACCGATATATCGTGCGTCCCTAGACACTGAACATAACAATCGTACCCAGTAGCTTAACGTAACGCAAGAGTTAGGAGACGATTCAATTTGTTCAAAACTCACTGGAAGCAAAACACAGACAACGAAACTTCAGAGCATGAGGAAAAAAGAAGGAAAGTCAACAGGGAATATTCCAAACCTGTGTGATTTCCTTTCTTCTGAAACACACAAAAGGAGACTTTTCAAACAATAAAAGCATACACTGACCAGAGGCTGTCAAGAACAAAATAGCACTACAAAAGTCCATAAGACTGATATCAAATATTAAGGAAACCATACAATAGCAAGGAGGAAGGATTGGACCAACATTTAAGCCGTGGGACACAAGAATCATCATCCAAACACAATAAATGCTGGTCTTTCCAGCAGGAAAAGAAAAAGCCTGTTTTCATCAGCAAATTCCTGAGAGTAAAACACTGAATGCTGTTATCAGACTCGCTTGATGGTTTTTTTTGGGGGGGGGGTTCTGAGTCATCGTGTCTCTTTTCGGGGTTTTCCTCCGCAGGGCTTCCGGTGTCTCAGATGAATCCGGATGCTTCTTTCTGTCCTATTACATCATCAGCAGATAATGTCATTCATCAGACTCTTCTCCACATTTCCTTTCATTTCATCCCCATTTCAACAAACAAGAGTTTTCGCAGTTAAAAATACACTCATTCATTCATGTGCTTTACTCTGAGAAAGAGTGCTTGAGTAGAATATCATTTGTAAATCTGAGAGTGGATGGATGGATGGAAGGAACGACAGACAGACAGACAGACAGATAGATAGACAGATAGATAGATAGATAGATAGATAGATAGATAGATAGATAGATAGATAGATAGATAGATAGATAGATCGATAGATAGACGGATGGAAAGACAGACAGACAGACAGATGGATGATCAATGCATAAATGGATGGATGATGGATGGATGGATGGATGATGGATGTATGGATGGACAGACAGATAGACGTACAGATAAACGGATGGATGGATAAATGAAGGTAGACAGACTGATAGATGGATGGATAGACACAGACAGAAGACATGAAGAACCGATGAAGAACCGCTGAAGAACCGATGGAGAACTGATGAACTGATGAAGAACTGATGGAGAACTGATGAAGAACCGATGAAGAACCGATGGAGAACTGATGAAGAACCGATGAAGAACCGATGGAGAACTGATGAACTGATGAAGAACTTATGGAGAACTGATGAAGAACCGATGAAGAACCGATGGAGAACTGATGAAGAACCGATGAAGAACCGATGGAGAACTGATGAACTGATGAAGAACTGATGGAGAACTGATGAAGAACCGATGAAGAACCGATGGAGAACTGATGAAGAACCGATGAAGAACCGATGGAGAACCGATGGAGAACCGATGAAGAACCGATGGAGAACCGATGGAGAACTGATGAAGAACCGCTGAAGAACCGATGGAGAACTGATGAAGAACCGATGGAGAACCGATGGAGAACTGATGAAGAACCGATGGAGAAACGATGGAGAACCGATGGAGAACCGATGAAGAACCGATGAAGAACCGATGAAGAACCGCTGAAGAACCGCTGAAGAACCGCTGAAGAACCGATGGAGAACCGATTAATAACCGATGAAGAACTGATGAATAACCGAAGAAGAACCGATGAAGAACCAATGAAGAACTGATGAAGAACTGATGAAGAACCGATGGAGAACTGATGAAGAACCGATGGAGAACCGATGAAGAACCGACGAAGAACTGATGAAGAACCGACGAAGAACCGACGAAGAACCGTCGAAAGAACCGATAAAGAACCGATGAAGAACCGATGAAGAACCGATGAAGAACCGAAATGAACCGATGAAGAACCGATGAAGAACCGAAATGGAACCGATGAAGAACCGATGAAGAACCGAAATGGAACCGATGAAGAACCTATGAAGAACCGATGAAGAACCGATGAAGAACCGATGGAGAACCGGAGGACGTCTGTGCTGTGCAGCTCCGCCTCAGACTGAGTTACGGCGAGGTGTGCAGATCCATCATCTGGTGTTTCAGTGAGGGCAGTTAAACAGACCCGAGTAATATATCAGCACAGAGGCAGATCAATGAAGAGGACGCTGGATCCCAGAACCCAGGAAACTACTGCTTAATAATAGCTCAAAATCATAAATCACGGCCAATATAAATAATTCAGAGTTGGATCTGTTGCCCACAAACAACGCATCGTAATCAATGACTCCCAGGCCCCATTTATTCACCACAGAGGAAAACAACCAGCTGACTGTGAGGAAGAGAATCAAGCCAAGAAGATAAAAACAATTCACAGATGCAGTGTGTGTGTGTGCGTGTGTGTGAGTGCATTTTACAACACAAGAACGCTTGAAAATGTTCTCATATAATGAGTTTCAGCTGAACACTGAGAAGTAATGTGTGTGAAATCGAAACACTCACTCTAAAATCGAATGTGCCTTTTGAATGGGTTATACACACAATACGAGGCAAATGCTATAGTTTCTCCTTTATAACTGAGTCTGAGAACTCCATTATGTCCACTAAGCTTCTCCTAAAACACAAAACGAGTCACAAATGTCATAAAGTAAGAGTTTAGAGCCGAA